GAAAAAAAAAAAAAAAAAAAAAAAAAAAAAAACAAGGCCTGCCACCCCCAGTTTTGTAGTAGTGATTCTCAACAAAAAATGGGAGGCCTGGGGTGTGCAGTAAAGACTGGTAGTTGAGAAAGAGGTTCAAGGAATTCAAATAATTATCCTTCCCCAAACATCCACTGCCTCTCTGTATCTTACTCACATCTCGAGAGCCACTGACTCCTAGGGATGCACTCAAACTCTTTTCTTATTGGTTTTCTACCATTCTTTTCTCTAACCTCAGCCATACCAATTATTTTGTCTTCTACCTGCCACAAAAAGAAAAGAGAAAAGAAATAAAAAAGAAAAGAACCTTAAACGAATGACCACAACACTGAGCTCTAGAGTCAGACAGAACAAGAGTCTGACCCTTACTTTTAGAGTTGAGTGACTTGCATGAGTTCATTCCTATGAATCTCAGATCCTTATAATACATAATAAATAATATATAACAAATAATACATTATTTGGAATAATTAAGAAATAATATATGTGAATGTACCTAGCATATTGCCAATATGTAGTAAAAGATTAATTATACCCCGATTTCCTCATTGGGAATTACAACTTTTTATTCAAGCATTAGCTTAAAATATTATCTCACCAAGATTTAAAATTTGGATTAATCACTCCTTTAATCCTTTGGTCCTATATTGACTATATCAATTTCTGTATTATAATATAGTTTATTTTAGGTATGTTCTGGCAAAAGATTGAAACTCTTGTATACAAATCATTTGCTGTTATCTTTCTGTCCTTCTTATCTAATAACTCCAGATATGTCATAAAAATTCAATAATAAGCTTGATGAATGGCAATAGTATACTTGCCTGATGTAGTGCATTTAATTTCTCTATGAAAATGTCTTTTCATATGTATTTTTCTGCAAACGAACCATACTGCTATTATTTAGATTTCTATAAAAGCTTAGGAAAAAGTGGATTCTGAATATTATAAATAAACATATAATAAAATTATAGTTATCAATATGAAATACATCATATGCAATGTAGGAAAAAGGAACCATACTGCTATTATTTAGATTTCTATAAAAGCTTAGGAAAAAGTGGATTCTGAATATTATAAACATATAATAAAATTATAGTTATCAATATGAAATACATCATATGCAATGTAGGAAAAAGGAAAGAGTATAACATAAAAAGTGGGTGCATTTGATATACAGTATTGGGCTGTCAATAATAGAATGACAGCACAGTTTACGAAGCACTAGAATGCTTCTGGAATAATTTGGCATGCTGCTAAGGTATGAAAGTAGGAAGGAAAACAGTTTCATTAGGACAAGCTAAGAAAACTGTTTGACTGTGTAACCGGAAAGCACTGTACCAAAACAGAAATTGTGGTTTACAAGTTGCATTTCCCTTCTGTTTTCAGCAAACGGCAGTGAGGTTCACATAAGCAACGTGCGCTATGAAGATACAGGAGCGTACACTTGCATCGCAAAGAATGAAGCAGGAGTGGATGAAGACATCTCTTCTCTTTTTGTGGAAGATTCTGCTAGAAAGACCCGTATGTATCAAACACATACACACACACACACTGTACTCAATTGTATAGGTTTTTAGAGCACACATACTCTTTAACAGCTTTTTTGTTTTTTCAAAAAGCAAAGACACCAGAAACCTCTGAAAGACACAAAGCATTAAAATAATTTTCATATGTAAGAAGAATAGGAATATTGAAATACTAAAAGTAGATTTAAAGATTAAAAAATGGTTGTAATATTTTTATTACAGCAGTATAATGATTTTATTTCTTTTGCAAGTGTATCTAAGATGTTTCAGGTCCTGCCTTCCCGTTTAATCATGCCAAAATTTAAATCCCTTGCAATATCCCTTTCCCAAATAATATTTGGGGAATTCAAGGCCCCTAAACATATTCAAGGTGTATCTTGTAGGTTGAATAAGTTAATATTTTTCTTTTTCCATCAGTTACATTGGAGTCTCTGGTCCAACAGCAGGCCTTCTCTGCAGCAGGCACTATAGTTACTGCTACCAGAAGACACTCACTGTCCCTGGCACCAACACTATGTTAGCTGTTCTTGGTTTAGTGCTAAAAATCCTTGGTCAACATGGTGCATACAATCTTACTGTCTCCTGAAGTTACAAGAAAAATGAGAAAAATATACTTTTTTTTTTTACTTTGGCAAAGGGATATGGATGGGATGGGGATATGAATGGGGTGGGAATGCTAAAGGTAGATTATTTTTTATTAGAGCTGAATTGCTTAAAACTCAAAGTACTATTGTAGCATTTATCAAGTGAACTCTCTCTAGGGAAACATACACATTTTCTCCCTCTGGTCCACACATGCCACGGTATGGTTATTTGGGGACACAGTCTGGATGTACTTGGAACGATTCCTCTTGCTCTCTTCTCTTCAGTATGATTTGTTATGCTCCTATTAATCTGAGTTTTGCGAAGGTCTGATATTTTAGGGCCCTTGAGTTTGGCAGGCCCATTTCTCTGAACCCAGTTTTTGAATGAGTTTAAAGCATTGTCCCTGGTGTCTTATTCCCTTTTAAGTCAGAGAGTCTATGTAGATATGAGTGAATCCAATGAAGAAAGAGGACCTGACCCAGGTCCCAACTACCAATATATCTTCACCTAGATTTTTTTCTGGCTGGCAAACCCACCATTACAGGCAAATATTTAAAAAGAAACTTAAGTAGAAAAAAAGAAAAGAAATCTGCATTTAATGACCTGGATAAGATCCACCATCATTTCTTTACTCTTCCTTTTATGTATTTCTGCCAAATACCAACTTGTGATTTATGTTCTGTTAAAAATGGAAATCATCAAGTCGAAGGTATACCTGTACCCCAATGTTCATTGCAGCACTCTTTACAATAGCCAAGAGTTGGAATCAGCCCAAATGTCCATCATCGGATGAGTGGATACGGAAAATGTGGTATATATACACAATGGAATATTACTCAGCTATAAAAACGAATGAAATACTGCCATTTGCAACAACATGGATGGACCTTGAGAGAATAATATTGAGTGAAACGAGTCAGGCAGAGAAAAAGAAATACCACATGTTCTCACTCATCGGAGGGAGCTAAAAAAACAATCAAATTAATTCAGGGAGGAGGGAGGGAGGTGTCGGTGATGGGCCATAATAATCAAATACATTGTATATTGACAAAATACAAATTTAATGAAAAAAAATTAATTTTAGGTGACCAGTATTGAAAACTAGGTGTTTTTTTTTTGTCCTTTATGCTGTTGTTTATGAAACAGATTTTCATTTCAACTCTGTATTCTGACTTTCTTTTAATGTTTGTCTTGTATTTTTCAATATATTTTTCTAGTTACAACAGTAAAATGACATAGTTTCTTTAATTAATGAATCATAATACCTTTCAGGAAGATTTTAGAGGAAGATTTAATATAATTTTATTCATACATTTAGTCATGTATGAATGTGTTTGCTTAATTATAAACTGTTTCTAAAATAACTTTATCTTACTTTTCTTGTTAACTCTTGCAGGTGAAAATAATACATTGTAAATATTTTTTTGAGCTTGTATGTTAGCAGCACACTAAATCAGAAGTAATATTTTTCTGAGATATACCAGTGCAGACCTTACTATATTTATGGACCTTTCAAACTATCTTATACAACAGAAACAATACAAGTGAAAGATCTGGAGGGTGGAGGGTGGCGGGTGGAGGGTGGAGGGTGGAGGGTGGAGG